CATCTCTGCCACCATGTGCCTGAGAGTCAACCCTTAAAAAGAAAGGGAGCCGGGAGACCACGAGCAGGAGACACTGATGGTATTTTCCCAAAACTTCTTTGTTTCATATGCAAATACAGGAAAATTTTGGACTGCGAGGAACTTGCTCTGCGAGTGTTCCGCAAGACAAGCAAACATTTCTAATAAATTTTAACTTGATAAATGAGTGATGTCTCGTAATACGAGTAGTATGTGACGCTGAATGTCACAAGATCACAAGTGAGCCAACGGTTCCTCTCTTTCTCACTGCGGGATTGTGGGTGATCGTCTCCCATGCTCAGAGCTCGGGTCTCAGGACGCAGTGTTTGGCAGAAATCACTGATTTTTCAGAACACTGGAAGGTACTCACAACTGGCATTACTGGATTTTTTGTCACTTCAAAGCACCTATGGACAGTCTTTCCAGACAAGAGTAAGCTCAGAAATGCTCTGCTTCATTCTAGGTCAGGCTGCCTTCAGACACAGACCCTCTCCTCTGCTGCCTTGTCGCCAGTTACATTAAGTACAGTATATGACAAGAGTTTATTAATACCGTGCTGTGATTAACATCCACACGAGCGTATACAACAGCCCCCATGCAGAAAAAGATTCCACTGAACCAACCGATAGCAGTGATTCGTTGGTGGCAGTGAAAGTCGTCCTACACAATAACCCTCCTCTCTTGTCTCCCTCACACCAGCCACAAAGGTTTTCAAAGGTAAGTGCAGGTTCACTTGTTCGTTTTTCTTTGTATTTTGTATTTTATTATTTTGTTTTCTATTACAGTATTGTAATCATTTTTATAGGAATATTTTTGGGTTGTAGAACAAATCACCTGAGTTTCCATTATTTCTCATGGGGAAATTCACTTTCATACACAAATGCTTTAGATTACAAGCATGTTTCCAGAACAAATTATGCTTGCAAACTAAGGTTTTACTGTAAATCTTTTCTTAAAAAAAAAAAATCAATTCAACTTTGGTTTTTGTTGCCTATCAAGTCTTACCACATTTCTCAACAATGAAATGGAATTCTCTAGCTCCACTATACCTGTGCGTGTACTGGTATGTTGTAAAAACATGCATACAGAGATATGTGTATATACACACACACACACACACACACACACACACCCCATACATAAAGATCTCACACACACAGATAACACATATATATTTGCTTACATTTTCAAAAAGTATCAATAGAAGAAAGCAAAATTAGTTCTAAGATAAACAACACAGTTTCAGGGGGTGCCTGGGTGTCTCAGTCAGTTAAGCATTCAACTTTGGCTCAAGTCATCATCTCATAGTTTGTGGGTTCGAGCCCCTCATCGGGCTCTGTGCTGGCAGTGCAGAGCCTGCTTGGGATTCTCTCACTCCTTCTCTTTCTGTCCTTCTTCCCACTTGCACGGCAGTGCACGCTCTCTCAAAATAAATAAACTTAAAAAAAAAGAATAAAAATATATATTTATAAAAATGCTATTAAAAACAAGAGGTTGTTTTCAATTAAAAGATGTTACAAGAGTATCAACCAAATGTGATGTATAGACCTTACATGGATCCTGAGCCAAACAAACCAACTATAAAGACACTTTTGAGACAACTAAAGAACAGTGAACATCCACTGGGCATTAGATGATCTGACTATTAATTCTGTTAGGTGATGATGACATTATATTATGTATTTTTACATACGTATTGTTATGTATTTTTTAAAGCTTATAACTTTTAATCTAGAGATTTCCCTCTTTTTTTTAAGTTTATTTATTTTGGGGGGGGGGGGAGGAAATCCCAAGCAGGCTCCATGCTGCCAGCACAGAGCCCAATGCAGGGCTTGAACCCATGAACTTCAAGACCATGACTTGAGCTGAAATCAAGAGTTGGACACTCAAACAACTGAGCTACCCAGGCATCCCACTCCCTCTTTTTCTGAAACACTGTCTGTTATGTATCGGTCTCATAGAAGTGCCCAGGTGTCATTTTAAATAATCCTTTATCCCTCATTTTTTTGTGAACTGGTTATTACAATTAGAAACTTGTAATTCAAGGGGCTCCTGGGTGGCTCAGTCAGTTAAGCATCTGACTTTGGCTCAGGTCATGATCTCATAGTTTGTGAGTTCAAGCCCCACATCAGGCTCTGTGCTGACAGCTCGGAGACTGGAGCCTGCTTCTGATTCTGTGTCTCCTTATCTCTCTGCTCCTCCCCTATTCACGCTGTCTCTCTCTCTCTCTCTCTCTCAAAAATAAATAAACATTAAAAAATTAAAAAAAAAAAAAAGAAGCCTGTAATTCAGGATCAATATCTTTAGCAAGAATATTCCATAGGTGGCACTTTGTATTTCTTATATATAGTTCTGTTGCCAAGAACACCCTTCTCCCTTTTGTCCTGAAAAACATTTACTATCTTTTAAGACTTGGCTCAGATGTCACCTCCTTCAGAAAAACCTCTTTACCCTCCAGTCCCCACTAAGCCAGCTTTCTCTACTAATCCAATAGCTAACCCTAATGGCACTGGACCTGCTTACCCACCTGTTGCCCCAATCAGGCTGTGAACGCCTTTAACAATGGACTAGTCTGCACGACTGGACTCCACAGAGACCTAAAGCCTAAGTGGGTGAAGTTCCAGGAAAGTAATCTTCACCAAGTAAACACATCGGATCACGTCCTTGTGTTACGGCCCATCCATCTGTACCTGGTAAGCAAGCAGGCACAAAGCCAGGGTCTCCAAGGTAATAGGAAGGAATAATGTTCAGAAGGAATAATGTTCAGAAGGAATAAGACGCCCTGGGAATATCAAAGGGAGTGTCCTGGCACCTGGCAGATTTCCTTACTGTTTGTAAACACAATCATAGGCAGCTACAGGTCTCAACAGGGAACTTACAGAAGCGCTGCTCTAACCGGAAGGTGCATACAAATCACCTGGAGACCCGATTCAAAATGCAGATTCTAGGGGCGCCTGGGTGGCTCAGTCGGTTAAGCGTCCGACTTCGGCTCAGGTCATGATCTCGCGGTCTGTGGGTTCGAGCCCCGCGTCGGGCTCTGTGCTGACAGCTCGGAGCCTGGAGCCTGCTTCAGATTCTGTGTCTCCCTCTTCCTCTGACCCTTCCCTGTTCATGCTCTCTCTCTCTCTGTCTCAAAAATAAATAAATGTTAAAAAAAAAAATGCAGATTCTAATTCAGCAGGGCTGCAGGGAGACCCCAGATTCTGCATTCCAGGTGGATTCTGTTGGTTTGCAGACCACTCTTCAACTAGGTAAGGTTCTAAGAGACCTGGCAGTCAGCCCTCTCTCAGGGAAATTACAGCATTAACTCCTGTCTTACTAATCCTCTCTTTTAAGCTAAAACAGTCTGTGTCATTAAAAAGCAAACGAAAAAAAAAAATCAAAATTTAATTCTTCCACATCTGTTGGCATCTTTCTTCTAATATATCCACTCCTCTTTGACAATTATGCAATTTCTCATTCATCTAAGTATCTCCAGCCTGGAAACTATAAGCCCTCAATAAATGCTTTAAATGATGTTCCATATAATCTCAATGTATTTCGTTGTTTTCCACTGGCTTGTTTACATAGGTTTGTTCACTGGCCCATCTTTCCCATTTGATTATCAACTCCTCAAAGGCACAGACTCTCCCCTTTGTGCCATGGCACACAGTCTGTCACCTAACCAGCACTCAGTGATGTTTGCTGACTTAGCCAGATGACTGGGAACATGTTACATTAGGTTCTTAGAGACAACACTGAATAAGAACCTATCCTTCTTCCTGGGGGACTTACATACTCACAGATAGAACCTGTTTTCACAAAAGTTTAGTGACATACACTGAAAAGGATGATCGGCTCTACTTAACAAATAAGAAAACAGCAAAACAAAGTTCGATGTTATGCTTCTTCAGACAGCCTCATCAAGATAGGAAAAAACGTTTAACAAAAGGTACCTCAGTCTTCCCACACTCATCGGGCGGGTCCTGGTGTATGGCCATTTGATACTTGACATATAGAGAAAATGACCGGCTGAAGGACGACTTGAACTCTGGGTCCTCAAAGGAGACAGGTACTAACCTCACCTTCAGAGCAAGGAAGATACAAGCAAATGCTATTGAAACATCTCTACCTGATGATATGCTTCTGAAGGTGAGGCTAGAGTAAGATCTCCGCAAATCCACTTCCAAAGCTCAGCGCTGTTATTTCTCATGAAATGAACGAACCCTGGAGCGTGCTGATTGGCACAGAGCCTCAAGCACTAACTTTACACTAACACTTAGGAAATTTTTAACTCATATGGACCAGGACAAATTTTTTTTTTTTTTATTTTTTTTTATTTTTTTTACTTTTTCACTCTTTCCACCTGTTGTGGTTCTCTGCATAGAGTCACAATGTTGCTCATAAGGGTCACTACTTTTGTCTCCTCTATTTGTATTAAGTGTTTTAAGATTCTTCCCCTTCCAGATTTTTCTTGGGTAAGTAGATTTATAAAATGATAAGCATATGTGAACTTCTATTAAAATATTCTATTATCTCAAAAAAAATTCTACTATCTTACTTTCTAATTCCACTCTGTCCTGTATGGGTAGTACATCAATAAAGAATAATTTAGCTGTTATGAACTCTGTTTATACGTGACTTTTACATGCAGATAAAGCATATTAACCGTGTTGTTCAAAGTATGCCTATCATAAAAATTAGAGTTCTATTTATTACTAATTTTTAGATAAATACATCTAGACATCGTTATTTCAAATAAAGATAACTCATTTTACGTGTTACTTTCCACTTTGAAATTACACATGACGGGCACTCAACACGTGCTAGGTAAAATTTGCACTTTCAGAATGTCCATTAATCCACAGTCCTATCATACTGCAGATATGCTGCAAATTGAATACAAATAAAATGTACCACAAATAAACCAAGTTTTCATACAATGATATCGAATGGAGGGGAAAGTTCCATTTGCACAAAAAAATTGCACTTGGCCTGCTGACCTGGCTCACAGTTGGCTTATCAGGTGGATCCTTGTGAATAACCATCTGGTAACGTTTATAGACCTGGTAAGACTCCTGAAATGTGGCTTTGAACTGAGAACTTGGTGGAGATGATCTCACCACCCTCACCTTCAGAAGGAGTTAAAAAACAGTGTTCATTAATTATTTATTCCACAGAACATGCATTAGAACAGTTACTCCCGCCCAAAAAGAACCAAATATTTCCACACAAATATTAAAGCATAAACAATGATAGTATTTTAACACTGAAAATCAACCAGATAGTAAATTTTTTTTAAAAGCGATTTCTCCAACTTACAGACTCATTAAAAAGGCAGAGGATTCGAAGACTAAGGTCTATGACCGAATCACAGAAGATGGACTCTATGGTAAAATGGCAGAATGCTTCTGGCACTCCAGAAACAAACACAAATAAATACTTTTTTCGCTGCATGCAACCCACCTTCAGTAAACCAGTCAGAAAGACAAAAATATGTGAACACATTTTTTAGACGCTCTTCATGCATCACTGCTAACTCTAAATTTACAAATTTTTTTGTAAGGGTGAAAGACAACCCTCACAAAGCATTCGTACTTCATGGCAGAGTTAAGAATGAAGATTCTAGGGGCGCCTGGGTGGCGCAGTCGGTTAAGCGTCCGACTTCAGCCAGGTCACGATCTCGCGGTCCGTGAGTTCGAGCCCCGCGTCAGGCTCTGGGCTGATGGCTCGGAGCCTGGAGCCTGTTTCCAATTCTGTGTCTCCCTCTCTCTCTGCCCCTCCCCCGTTCATGCTCTGTCTCTCTCTGTCCCAAAAATAGATAAACGTTGAAAAAAAAAAAAAATTAAAAAAAAAACCGTAATTATACAGTAAAGTTGATTTATTTTAACATCAACCATTTACTAACCAGTTAAAATGTGTTAGCAAAACAGAATAATAAAACAGAAAATCGAGTGCAATAAAAAAGGCTAAGTAGAAAATTTTCATGTGTGCCATGAGAAGTAATTCTTCTCCAAAAAAAGAGGGTCATCCAGTGGACAAAAAAATCTCTGCCCATCCTAGCTATCATTACATTAAAAAATTAAAAAGCCTCCTACTGTACAACATGCTAGATGGGCCTGGTGCCCTGAACACATTACTATTTATGATCACAAGAGAAAAGACTCCTCTTAAAATACGTTAAGTAGTGGGTTCAATTCTTTTTAATTTGGGAAGGAGAAAGTGTCAATACCAAAATCAGAACAGCTAAGGAATTATAACATAGTTAAGACTTAAGTCTAATAATATATAGCATCCTAAGGCTTAGATTGCATTAAAGCTAATTTCTTAATAGCAGGTCCTTAGTGATACACTTAGACAATATTAAGCTATAAATTCAAAGGCTACCCAGTTACTGATGAGAATAAAATTATTATCGTTAATGTTTTAGGGGAAAAAAATGAATACCAAATACCGAAAAATGTACACTTAATCTGAAATGTAAGTCAAAAATAATAGGAATACTCTAAAAGTATTCGTATTATGCCTATATTGGTTTGAGAGAATTACTGAGAAAGGACTGTAGTAGTACAACTTAGTACTATTTAGTTAATTCCTAACTGCTGGCTTGCATATGTAATACAATTTGTTGCCTTGGTCAAGATCAGAATATTAGAATGGATAAAAAACAAAGATGTGCCTACTGTGATTTCCTTCACTATCTAACCAAAACTGCCAAAAAATGAAATTTACATAGTATATTTTATCTCTTTCACTACTAAATTTCAATCAAGGGATACAAAAAGCCAGAGTCCCCTGCATAGTAACATGCTAAAACTGGAACTGTTTTCCCAACTTTAGTAGCCAAATTGCCTAAAATATTTATTTTAAATCTTAAAAAAAGGGGGGGGTTTCTCAAGTAGCAATTAACTTAGCAAACACAAATGCTACTCCATCCCAATTCACTTTAATTTCCCATTATTTAAACAGCAAAATATCACCTGGTGAGTATAACCTCAAATGAAAATAAATAAAGTACCCACCAACAACAAAATAAAATAAAACACCCTCCAAAGTACCTCCAACTTGTGTGATGCATTCTCTGGTAAAGATTCAAAAATTAAATCTTCGAGCGATTTGGGCTGGTTGGATTTATTAGCCTTTGGTGGGAGCAAAGACGGTGGTTCACCCTGAGCCTGGAAACCCTCAAGTTCTCCAGCCGGGTTCTGCTGCATCAGTTTTAACCTTTTCCTTTCTTTCCGGATTTCCTTTGCTTTTCGACAGGGAGGCTTACTCAAATCTGCTCCTTTGCCTACAAACAATTTCAAAATATTAGACCACTCACATTTGACTCAAGAAATGTTTTTTTCAAGTCTCAAAGATTCTACAGAATTAGGCCCAAAGCATTTCAACAGTTAGGTTAGCTTTGTAGGTGGATTCTCCAGAAGATTCTGGTGTAGAGCTCTAAGTTATCTTACAATCTTATCTAGAAGCAGGAACTGTCAAAGAAAATAAACAGTCACAGAAACTTTTCAGGCAGCTTTTACTGGTGAAAATTCAAAAACATTTTTTTTTTAATATTCATCCACTTCTCTGTCTTTATAAGTAGAAAAAAACATAATCAATTATCTTCTGCTTCAGGACATGAATGTTTCCAGCACATTTCTGAGGGACATTTCTCTCAAAGCACTTGTGACATAAACAAACGCTTAGGACCTGGGTGTAAATGAATACTGATCCCAGAAAACACTCTGGCAGGTTTTTTAATGAAAAAATACTCTTGCTTAGTTGAAGGGATCTGTGTCTCTCCATCTAACTGAGGGGCCTCATTAGCTCAGCTCAGTTAATGACAGTTTTTGTTTGAATTAAAAGAGCAAGTATCAGACTGAAAGGCCTTAAAGATATAAAATTTTTTTAACTAAAATAGGGGCGCCTGGGTGGCTTAGTCGGTTAAGCATCTGACTCTTGATTTCGGCTCCGGTCATGATCTCACGGTTCATGGGATTGAGCCCCGGGATTGAGCCAGCAGTACAGAGCCTACCTGGGATTCTCTCTCTTTCCTCTCTCTCTGTCCCTCCCTTGCTTGTGCACTCTCTCTCAAAATAAGTAAACTTAAATAAATAAATAAATAAATAAATAAATAAATAAATAAATAAATAAATATTTTAACTACAATAAACCACAAATTTTAGTGAGTGCCTTTTCATCCAGTAAGTTGTCTTTAAGGACTCTGTGCTGAGAAAATCAAGAGCTAGAGGCAAATAATGAACACACCTGAAAACTTCAGTATCATTTAAATGCCCAATAGAATAATTATATAATTTTCATTTTATTTTCACTTTCCTAAGTAGACTCCACACCCAACATGGGGCTTGAACTCATGACCCTGAGATCAAGAGTCACGTGCTCTACTGACTGCCCCCCCCCTACAAATTTTTAAAACAGCTAAGCAACAGAATATCAAAAAGTCATTAGAAATGCTTCAGAAATTTTCAGGGATTTGTCATTACACAAGGTTAAAAAAGATTTCCAATTATTTACAAATAGATACACAAAAAATATTTATTAAAATGCCTGAAAAGAAATATACCACCATGTTAACAGTCAAAGAAAGGACTTTTCTTGCTCTTTTCCTTGCAGTGTTCTCTTTTCTTCAAATTCTCTAACGATGAACATACCATTGTAAATTTTTCAGCTATTAACAAAATAAAGAAAAATGCTACTTTAAGTTCCTAAAACACACATTTACAAATCATATAAAAGTAAGCAATAGGAAGTTTTACAAGACCAGCAAGTTTAATTTTATAGAAAAGAAAATTAAGACCCAGTGTGTTAAGAGACTTGCTAGAGACCAAGAGCTGGTCAAAAAAAATTAATCTGATGAGAAAATAGTTCATTCATAGTGAAACCATATTACGACTTCACTAACATGTTTTCCAAATAAAAACAAAATCGACCCATAAAAGAAGACTCTGAATAAGTTTAACAACCAGGCAACAAAAGACTTGACTCTATAATTAACCATTACTGCCTTAGAGAATTAATTTTCTTTGGCCAGGGAATGTGTCTTCCTCAAATTTGTTCACAGAGGCACAACAGCATTTGGTTAAGAGCATACACTCTGACATGGGCCGCAAGAGGTCATCCCTGTCTCTCAGCTAGCTGACTTTAGGCAACATTACTTGTCTATACAAGGAAGACAATAACCAGTCTTACCTTTGGAGTTCCATGAGAATTAAATGAGTTAATACATGTGTAGCTCTTAGAACAATACCTACTATTTAACTGGGGTCTTCTATTATTATTAGCTATTATATGCATCACCAATTCCTACAATGGTTCACCTATTTAGGCATTTCCATAAATGGTAATAAGGCAGAAAAGAATCCTGCATTTTCTAATAGTTACTCAAAATGACATTCTCTAGAGTGAACTGAGAAACAAGTTTTCACCATTTTTATGAAAGATCACCTATGTCGGCTTTGCATCAACTGATTCATTGGACTAAGCAATCCTTCTTGTGGTTGTTTTACTCTACACGTATGTACTATCATGATATGAACGCAGAGGATAGTAAATTAGGATTTCAGCTTATTTATGGGACTAAAGATCTCCCCAAAGCAAGAAGTTCCTTCAATGGAACAGAAACAGATCAATATAAAATCACTGCACCGTACCAACCCAGCACCCACAGATGTTCAAACCACTCAAGGATCCTAAATTAGTCCCAAGAGTTTTGAAAAGAGTTCAGTAGACCCGCATAATTCCTAATTAAGTTTCAGGAAATATACCTCTAATATTTTGTAAATAAAATGGAAATGTGTGTTTCTAGACAAAATCCAAAGCCTCCTACATTTTAAAATAAGCTCACATTTTTATTGAAAAATATAAAAGGAAAATAAGTGCAAACTTTTTTTAATGTTCCAGTAATCATACTGCTGAAGAAGTTAGTTTTGTTATTATAAAACTGTTGTGTAATGTAGGGTAAAGCAAATGGGTAACTGTGATATTCTAATTCTACTCTTCTCCGTGTCCTTGAGAGCAAGGTTTCTAAGTGTGGAAGAAAGAAGATCCAATGTCAAACAAGCAAACAAACACGTAAAAATACTAACAGTCCTGAATTTGAATTGGAAATATCAATATGACCACACGACCTATTAAGTCTGTTCATGGAAAAAGCCTAGAAAACAATAACCAAGCCAGTAACAATAGTGGTCACCTCTGGTCTAGTCGGTGATCTCCAAATGCCATTTTCCACTAAAAGAAACCAGGGCTTCTTGGGGAAATGGCTGTACAAGACGATCCAGGAGCATCATGTCATAGAAAGCTGCTAAGACTACCAACATTTTATCAAACAAACCAGAAGCCAACTTAGAGAAACTCCCACAGGAGCAAAGAACTAAAACATGGCAAATGTGTTTAAAACTCACTGTTAGAAGAGGTTATTTTGTAAAATGGATGACACAAAATGAAAGAATCAAGAATTCCTCTTGCCTTTGCTGGGAGTTCTTATGGGAGACAAGTAGATGAGGAGAAGGTTCTGTTTATGGAAGTATCCAGTTAGTAAATGAAAAATGAATTACAGACTTAAAATATCTAATGGATAAACGGATTTAGGCATTGAGCATTGGTCCACAGCTACTAGCATTAACAGAAAGAGAGGCACCCGGACATTATGTGTCTCCTGAAAGAACATCCCACCACCCGTGAACTAACCTTACCCATCCTCAAATAAATAACTGGAACTCCAATCTGATGAAGACTTCTCCCTCTCCAAAAAGGCAAAAGAAAACCAAAATGCCAAAAGACAAAAAAAAAAACAAAACAAAACAAAACAAAAAAAACAATTTAATCTTGAATCTGATCAAGGCTCTACATCCAACTATCAATTTACAGGTAGGTACGGCAACATGTTAAACTGCACTGTAGATTAACTGTCGGTCAAATAACCCAGGTCAAACAACCCAGTTTCTTCAACAAATAAAGTGCAAATAAAAAGGTTGGAGTAATGAAAGATCTACTGAGATTTTTTAACTATAGCAACCAACTGCAATATGTGGCCATATTTGGATCCTGATGCAAACAAATACTTAAAAACTGGAAACTTTAACACTGAATATTCAGTATCATTACGGAATTTTACTTAGGTGTAATAATGCTATTGTGAGTATGTATCTGAAAGTTCTAATCTTATAGAGATGCAAAATGAAGTTTTTAAAAATGTAATAAACTGTAATTTTTATAATAAACAACTGAAATAATAAAAGAACTGGCCCTATCACCTAAGACAGTAAGAGATGTAAGAAATTTATCTAAACCATTCAGAATATTTTATTGGACTATTCTTACTAGTTAGGATGAAATCTCAGGTTGACATCCAATGAAATGCCATGAAAGCCTTGCGTGAAAATACCTATTCAAAAAAAATGCAAAATGGGGCACCTGGGTGGCTCAGTTGGATAAGCATCCAACTTCGGCTCAGGTCATGATCTCATGTTTCATGAGTTCAAGCCCTGCATCAGGCTCTCTGATGTCTATGCAGAGCCTGCGTCAGATCCTCGGTCTCCATCTCTGCCCCACTTGCACTCTCTCTACCCCTGCCAAAATAAATAGAGGTCTAAAAAAAATCCAAAACAAAGTTTTCTGTGCATTAATATGATTTAGACAAGAAAAACTGTAATAGTAATAAAAATCTCTCCTTTGGATCATTCTGTATAAATAAATATAAGAATTCAGGAACTGAAACATAAACATCTAAATTGACATTTTATGAAATAATTTTTTTTTTTAAATCATACAGGGGGTGGGGTGCCTGGGTAGCTCAGTCAGTTAAGCATCCGACTTCAGCTCAGGTCATGATCTCACAGTTTGTGGGTTCGAGCCCCACATGGGGCTCTGTGCTGACAGCTTGCTCAGAGCCTGGAGCCTGCTTTGGATTCTATGTCTCCTCTCTCTGTCCCTTCCCTGCTGGCACCCTATCTCTTTCTGTCTCTCAAAAATAAATAAATGTTAAAAAAAAATTTTTTTAATCACACAGGGGTGCCTGGGTGGCTCAGTTGGTTAAGCATCTGAGTCCTGATTTCAGCTCAGGTCATGATCTCACAGTTTGTGAGACTGAGCCCCGCATGGGGCTCTGCACTGACAGTGCGGAGCCTGCTTGGGATTCTCTTTCTCTTTCTGCCCCTACCCCGACAAATTAAAAAAATAAATGAACATTTAAAAAAATAAACATTTTTAAAAGTAAATACAGAAAAAAGAAAAATTTAAAAATCATACAAACACATGCACACACACACAAATAAACCCACTTAAAGTTGGATAAAATTTTAAAACCTAAGTATTTTACAAGTGAAAATATAGAAAAAAATCTGACCTTACTGAAGGTGAAGTAAAATATCAAAATCTGGAAATTTTTAAACTAAAATTCATTATGATTACATAAAGAAATCTAATAATAAACTAAAGACCTTTATAATGTCTGTACTTTGAACAGAATACCTAAAATTTACTTTGTCTTACTTCACACCAAAAATAAAAATGTTTAGCACCACATCCTTGCACAGATAAAAATGCGATTCTCAAACTCTAAGTTCCTAGGGTAGTAAGAAATGACACTCTTTAAAAATATGTGTATTGGGAGATAATGAAACTATTATTTCAGGCTTTTTAAAAATAGCAGTTTTTAAAATATGTGATTTGTCCATCTAAATCCAGGCAATAATAAGTTGTACAAAACAGGGATTTTACAGATTTCATATAACTCATATTTTTAGCTGATGAGAGAGCCCAAGGGCTACAATGTTCCAAGCACAAAGAAAATCACCAGGACTTTAAAAAGGCCACAGAGCAAACTTGCCCTACCTGGCTTAGGAGCCATGGGCATTTTAACCGGATGTGATGGCTCACCAGAGCCCAACTTCTCCTCTATATCTTGTGACTGAATGAATTCATTAGATTCTCCCTTCTTTGGGCTTTTTCCTTTCTTCTTTTCTTCACTGTCAAAGCTCTCTGTGAGGTCACCGCTGAGCGTTTTAAGGTCACACTGTATATCCAATTTATTTATTAATCCAAAGTCACCAGCAACGGTGTCCTCCATGGTGGGCTCCATAGGATCATCTACAAATCAGAAAAAATCAAAGTCTATCAGCCATGCCATCTGACGCAATTAAGATACACGTAGTAAAAACAAAACGCCCCTTTTTTCTGATGTGGTCGAGACTACGGTGTGTGCATCAGGTCCATTCTCCCACCTTCCAAAGTAACAGGGCTGTAGTTAAGACTGTGGCACCCAAGCAAGGGAATGCACCCCAGTCCGTCTGCAAGTTGTGACCAAGTTCCCACCAGTGGAACAGAACCAAAACTGATAGGTTCAACTTGGCCTCACTTGTTTCTAAAGATAATTTGTAACCCTGAACTTCTACCCCTCCTCTCCCCACTGACTGGATTAGTAAAAACCAGCGTGAGCTTGGAAACTACATGTTGAAGGGAGTCCCAGAATGGCTGGGGAGGGGCAGAGCAGACTGTAGGCTAATGTGAAACACCCACAATGGGCTGTCACACTAGGAAACAAACAGACTTCTAGCATTTGTTAGTCATTGCATGCTGGTGTCTTTTTCTTATAGCTATTTACCCTTCTACTCTAATGAGTACATCGCTCCTCTAAGTTACAAACATAAATAATTTAGAAGTCTGTAACAAGTCAAATAAAGAACCAAATGTAAAAGCTATGTATAAAGACAGGCAATCATCAATTTATAAATGGAAGGCACCTCAAGGCTTATCTGAATATTAATTTTTGAAACTCAGAACATGATTTTCAGCCACTGAAATACTTTTTGACCAACCAACAAAATGTATTTAGTTTTTAAGACCATGTACAGACAATACTAATCAGAGCTCTACCAAAGTTCTGATGTCCCCAATGCCCAATTGTCCCTGAACCTCTAGACCCTGTAAGCCTTCCAGGCTTTTTTGTTGCCCACAGCTCTGCCAAGTCTGCTCCATGATGTCCTGAGTTTTAATCCGTTAAGGACAGTGCCCAAGGGCGAAGAACTTCCCTGGCCTGCTGGCCACTGTATCGCCAGTGCTTAAAACAGGGACTGGCACATTGTGGGCACTGAAAACATACTTGGGGATGTATTAACAAGCTAAAAGTGTTAACAAGTTAACAAGTTAAAAGTTAACAAGTTAAAAGTGAGGAAGGCTCCCAGGGTTGGACACTTCCTAGGGCAGATGTGAGAAAGAGCTCTAACAACAGCTGGCATTCCCAATTATTATGCTCATCGATTAGGCATGGGCTAGAGGAAAACTTTTAAAAAAGAAAAGACAAGATACTGAAACAACTGAAAAAGGAAGTATCTGTAAACCAAAGTTAATTTCTTTCAGGAAACGGACTCACAATTCAAAGTTTATCATACAAAAAAGAAAATTTCAGGCAATATAATGATTTACTGAAGGGCTTCCTCAAAGAAAACCTGGGCTTCACTCAACAATCAAAGTGGTTGTGTAGTCTTGTGCAAGGGGTACCTAAGCATCTGTTTCTCAGACATTCTACCACTTTCTCTGTACTTCACAAGGTATTATTAGGACCAAGTTGTCAAAGTACTGTGAAAGCTTAAGCTCTAATAAACTCCAGGAAATCACAAGAGCTGTAAAACTTTCCTACATTTTCCCTTTCCCTGACAGGCATTCCTCATACCCTTGACCTTCAGGCCAATGGCAACAGTACCAGCAGCACTATCCCTACTTCAGAAAGAGCCAGAAGGGAGAACCTTGGAAATCAACATCAATATAAAGAGTTTTTAGACCCAATCTCATCTTACCCTCATAATTTCCTTTGGAAATTTCCCCTTTGGCCAGAAATTTCAACATTTTTTTCAAAACCTTCTTGTGTGATTTTGATGGCTGAAACTGTAAAGGTCGGCACCTAGGAAAGCAAAACAAATATTTAAAAAGTGAACTCAAACCATGAAGAAATAAAATGAGTTCTGGATAGTATCTAGTACAGTGAGGCAAACTTCATGCCTGGGATTTCTGGGTAAAGACAGGGCTTGATGTAGCCTCTAATCCCACCCCAAATCTCACTAAAAAACTATGTTAAGGAATTAGAAAAAAAGAAAAAGACATGAATCACTGGGGAAAAAAAAAGAGAAATGTTGGAAGCTGGATAGCACAGGTATAAGTAGTAACTGACTTCGTAGACCAAAGAATGTTAAATCCTAAGCCAAGAGTGTTGAAAAGCCAGAAAGACAACCAATTCTCTCTACATTACCCCTAAAAGTTTTAGATACCTGATACCTCAGGAGATAAGTGTGAAGGCGGGTCTAAAAATAGAAAATCTCTTGAAAGTCTGTTTTGGAAGCAGTTAGATGTCTGATGCCCTCCCCACTCCTCCCTACACAACTCCCTACACAACCCAGAAGAAAGTTGCAAACTTAGAAAAGAAAAAAACAAAAACAAAAAAACAAAAAAACAGGGCCTCCTACATGAGGATACAAGCACAGTGGAAAGCAATGGAACTGGACTAGAAAAAGGAAGTCTAAAGTCTACATCCTGAATGTTGAGACTTCCAAGCCACTTCCCCAACCCAGCCACAAAACCTGGCACTTTCTCTCCAGAATGTGATCAGACCCCAAGATACTGTCCTCAGGCACTCTCCACTGTAAAGTGAGAATCACCAGATACTTGGAGAGAAACTCTACAAAGACACGTTGCCAAAAACACTGGAGAAGGTAACTAGGAAGACACAGAGTACAGAGGAAGGAGAGAGCCCCAAAAATAAAAATATCCTCAGAACACTCTCTTATTTCTCTTTGGCCATTACAGCCACACAACAATGGGAGGTTACAAAACAATAGAGAGTGTCCAAAAAGAAAAATCTCCCAGAAGAAAAAGTATAACAGAAAAAGTTAAAATTTAAACAAGACTTGGAAAATAAAGTTGAGGAAATCTTCCAAAAGATACAGCAAAAGGGATGGAAAACTGAAGAGAAAAAAAATTAGAGGATCACTCTAATTTTTAATTATTTTGAAATTAATGTTTAAGTTCAATAACTGAATAAAAACATTATCAGCAGTTATAATGGAATAGAAGAAAGAAAATGGAGGGAAGAAGACCAACAAAATAAAGAAAATGTCCGTGAAGTGAACAATAATGGTGGGAGGAGGTCCCAGGTAAGAAGAGCCACATAAGTCCATGTGTAATGGATGCAAACAGACACTGCCAAACAGGAAACATCAGAACACAGGGAACAAAAAATCCTTCCCCAAAGAAAGAACATTCTGCACAAAGGAACAGGGATCAGAAGACTACCTGACTTAATAGCAGTAAGACAATGGAGCAAAGCCTTCAAAATTTTAAAGCAAAATTATTTCCCATCTACACTTCTATATCCCAGCCAAACTATAAGTTCGAGTAGAGAATTAAAACATTTTCAAATGTACAATGTCTAAAAAGTACTTCTCGTGCACGCTTCCTCAGAAAGCTATTAAACGTGCTTCACGAAAATGAGGAAATAATCCAAGAAAGAGAGGTCAGGAAATAGGAGACACGGGATCCAACAAGAAATCCAAAGAGAATCCCCACGATGGCAGTAAAAAGAGATCCCAGGGTGACAGTGATGCAGGAGTTGTAGAGACAACCTGTCCAGATCAGAGCACGTCAGAAGACAACACAGAGATATTCATCGAGAACATAAAAGCAATAGAGTACCTGAAGCATCTGGAAGTACCAAGACGACATTTACACTACTGTGGAAGCATTTCTAAATCAACTGGTGATGGGTACGTAAAAGGCGATGTGAACACAGAAGACAATTATCAATTCCACGGAAAGCAAAAACTCGTACAGGAAAGAAAAATCATAGCACGCTACATGACTCAACTGTAAAGCGTATTTATAGGTCATAACAAAGGGATTACGCCTATTTAAAATTACACTACTTCTAGGCTGGGAAGTTGACAATGAGGACAAAAAGGAGCTTGAATGTGACAAGGGGACAGGGATGAAATAAAGTTAAGTCCTTATCTTTCAGAGACAGAAACCCAGAGATAGTGAGAAAAAATAAAGTTGAATCCTTATTTCTGAAAGAGAGAAACACAGAGATAATGAGAAAAACCCAAAGATGAGGATATATAGTTATATAAGCATGTCAAGTAAAGGTAGAAAGAAGGAAAAACAAAAGAATCCGTTAAAAAATTTGAGTGTGCACTGTACTGGGAAAGAGGAAACAAGAAGGCTCAGGGGACTGCAATTCTGCAAAATACATTTTATGGAATGTTTGATTTTTTAATTATTAGCATATAATTCTACATAAAAATAAAAACTAAAAAAAAAAAAATCATAGTCAAGGAAGCTCATCCTCATTTAAACTCACATACTGGGCAGCCCCTGACCTCTATCTAACAAGAAGTTACGTTGTAGGTTATAAACACCTTGCCTTTACATTAGGTCTTATTGTAACTATTGTAGCCAACAAAGTAAAAAAAAAAAAAAAAAAAAAAAAAAAAAAAAAAAAAAAAAAAAAACCCAGAAGAGTAAATATGCAAAATGACTCCATAGTGTCATCATATATAACGAAGTTGTATAGAGGATAACAATTCAGGAAATGTTTGATTTCATGCAAAAAATCACATTTTATAATTATTCTGTTTTGCAATGTTAATTGAATCCCTTTTCATAAAAGCAATCAATGTACCTGGAACAGTGCTTGGCACTGAGAGGCACCCAATAAATTATAGAAGTTTCTTCTTTTTTCTTTAACCCACTGAAATTGACCTTTTCTGATTAGAGAGTATCAGGATTCAAGCCGATCAGCTCCAGACTTAATTTAAACAGAATCCTGGCCATAATCCAGTAACAAATTGCTATTTGAAGGAAAAGGACTTCTGCCTCTGACGATGTGACTGCTTCATAACCACTAAAACTGAAAGAGGACAGCACAATTCTGTCATTTTATTCTTTGTATAAGTGAGACGGTGTCACCAAACCAGACAGCCACCTCTTCTCTCTATTGCCCAGTCCTATGACCAGTTAGATAAGAGAATGGATTCTTAACCAGGAATCAGTGGAACTTCGGGAGTCTATGGTCATCCTAAAATTAATATGCAAAATGTTACGTATTCTTGCCTCCAGGCCCCTCTCCCTTTTGTTCTGTTGCAGAGAGGATCTAGAACTTTTCATCAGATTGTCAAAACAGTCTTCAACCCCAAAACAAATTAAGAGATGGGACAGAAATGTGAAGACCAGCCAAAACACGATGGATACAACTATGTTTGCTTTTTTTATCTAGAGAATATATTTACATTGAAACCGTACTCAAATGCTTAACAACGATAACATGCTTTCTCTTTTTTCTACCAGAAGAAGAGGAAGGCAAGGAGGACAACAAGGGAGAAGAGGAGGACCTTTAGAACCTGAGAAGGTTAAATCCTTCCATGTTATGCTGGGGTTTTCTGGTTAAGCAAACACTCTGCAGGAAAACAGACTTTCTAGCTTAAGTTTTACAATGAAGAAAACAACTCTCGGGGCGCCTGGGTGGCGCAGTCGGTTAAGCGTCCGACTTCAGCCAGGTCACGATCTCGCGGTCCGTGAGTTCGAGCCCCGCGTCAGGCTCTGGGCTGATGGCTCGGAGCCTGGAGCCTGTTTCCGATTCTGTGTCTCCCTCTCTCTCTGCCCCTCCCCCGTTCATGCTCTGTCTCTCTCTGTCCCAAAAATAAATAAAAACGTTGAAAAAAAAAAATTAAAAAAAAAAAAAGAAAACAACTCTGAATACATGTGGCAGATTAAATGTCAGCCCCCGCCCCTTTCTACAGATCCTATAGTACTGTTTGAATATGAGCACAACGTCTGGTAATACACTAGAATGTGGAAAGCCCTAAGCTAAATTTTATAAAGAATTTGATACCTAAAAGTAATCAGAGTATTTGCTGGTATTTTCATACTATGTCATAGAATCATTGATTAGACTACTAAATAGTATACTTTTTTATATCATACTTACACCCAAACCATTAAACGGTATTATTAATAGCTACTGATGACGTATAAATGTAGCATCGGTATGTAAAAAAGATACAATCCATTTGCTTCTCTTTATAAAGGAGGTGTACCTAGCACAAAAGTTAACATGTAAAAAAAAAGCAAGGTGCCACTAAAAAAATTATACGAGACAGATCCTCTTTCTTACCTTATCGTGTACTGGGGACAACATGTTTGATTCATGACAGGCTTGTACACATATTTTCCACTTCTAAAATTGAAAAATGTTGTTAATGTCTCATACGTTTCTCACATGTACCAAAGCAGACTAGTACAGAGGCACAAAATTAATTATGGTAAAAATCTGACCGATAACATAAAAACACATAGATGTAGTTACTCCTTAGAACTAAGCAATCTTGCAACACTGGCACAGCAAGGACAGAGCCCAGCCTTTCCTTTCCTAAACCTTTACGTACATACTCCAAGCCTCTTCACCTCAGTTACCCTCTTAGCATCACCTGCCATCCTTCCAGGCCTCAACCCACCACCAATCCTCAATACCACAAAGGCAATCAGAGAAAACTGCTCAGGATGTGGGGACCCTGCCGTGTGTCATAGCCTAGGATATCCACACTTGAGGGTTCCACGTGCACTAGGGCCACGAAGCCCAAAATTAACCCGATCCTTTCAAGGCCTTCTGGATCTTGGTTAATGGCAGAACCATGACATTATGGACTGAATTCTGTCCCCTCAAAATTCATATTTTGAAGCCCTACCCCCACTACCTCAGAATGGGACTATATTTGGAGAGAAGGCCTTTAAAGAGGTGATTAAGTTAAAATGACAGTTAACATAAGCCCTAATCCAATCTGAATGGTGTGCATATCAGAAAAAGAAACTGGGCACACAAAGAGACACCAGGCACCAGGGACATACAGGCAAAGAGAAAGGGCCCCATGAGGCCACAGCAAGAAGGCAGCAATGTACAAGCCAAGGAAGGGTCTCCAGAAAAGAAAGAAAGCCGAAGACACCTGGGTTTTGGAAATTTCAGCCTCCAGTACTGTGAGAATACGGATTCCTGTTGTTTAAGACACCCAGTCAGCGGTATTTTGTTACAGCCATCCAAGCAAACATACATGGGTTCGGTTCCTGAGCCAGAAACCTGGGAGTCATCTCCAGTTCCTCCCTTTAAGGCACCTCTATATCCCGTCAGTAAGCTTTCTACTTCTAAACTGTACCTTGTATCCATCCCCTTTTGTCTATCTTCTAACCTACAGCCACTGATGATGACGGCATCATCGTGAGATGACGATTTCCTATCTGGACCCTACAGTGATCTTTAGAACCGGTCTTTCTGCCTTCAAGAACCACCCCCTCAAATACCTCTCTACGATCTGAATGGTCGTTTCCCAAAGCACAAATTCCATCACACTTCTGACATAAAAGCTTTCAATGGCTCCCCTTCCACCTTAAAAAAAAAGAGAAGTGCTTCATCATGGCATACAAAATCCTTCAACATCTGACCCAGATCTTCTTTCTGGGTCTCATGATTAAGTTTAAAGAAAGCTATGAAGTTTCATTTGTTGCACTCAATCCCATATCTTTTGGGTAGTATTGGCACAAGGCCCTTAACACTGCTTATATTTACACAAAAAACTTTATATACTCTAAAATTATCTATATAAAAATAATTACCAAAAAATCTTAGCCGTCAAAGGCAATGTGTAAACCTTAATGGAATTCTGATTCAAATAAACCAACTATAAAAAAGGGGCATTTTTGAGACTAGTAAAAACCTAATCAAAACTAAGTAACAGATGACATCAAGGAATTATTAATTTTGTGAAGTATGATAACGGTATTATAAATACATTAAAAAGGAAACAAGAATCCTCTCTTAGAAACGTGTCTATTATAGGTGTATTGACAGGATACCTAAATTGCTTTAAATTATTTTGTGGAGGAGGAGGGAGCACCTTAGCTGGTTCAAGCTGCTATAACAATATACCACAGAGGGAGTTGCTTAAAAACACAACAACGTATTCCTCATAGTTCTGGAGGTTGGGAAGTCCAAGATCAAGGGTGTTGGCATATTTAATGTCTGATGAAGACAAGCTTCCCGGTTCATATATTTGTTGTAACCTCACATGGCAGAAGGGGCAAGAAAGGGAACTCTCTGGGGTCTCTTTTACAAGGGCACAAATCCCATTTGTGAGGGTCCCACCCTCTGACCTAATCACCTCCCAAAGGCCCACTTCCCAATACCATCATATCGGGGGTTAGGATTGAAAAGATGTACTTGGGGGTTGTGAGGGATGACACACGAACATTCACACCACCACAGGGAGCAAGGAGAGTTGACGAAACAAGACTGGCAAAACAAACGTTAACAACTGCCGAAGCCTGCTGATAGCTACATCAAGTTCATTAGAACATACTCTCTACATTTATGTAGGCTTGAAGTTCTCCTAATGAACATCTTTCTTTAATGTTTGTTTATTTTGGAGAGAAAGAGAGCACGTGCACCAGGGGGAGGGGCAGAAAGAGGGAGAGAGAGAATTCCAAGGAGGCTCCTCGCTGACTGTGCAAAGCCTGACACAGGACTCAATCCCACAACTGTAAGATCATGACCTGAGCCAAAATCAAGAGTCGGATGCTTAATGGACTGAGCTACCCAGGTGCTCCTAATAAATGCCTTTAAAAGAAGAGACAGCGGAATCACTACATAAAGAAATATAATTTAAAAACGTCTTGGGGCACCTGGGTGGCTCAGTTGGTTAAGCGTCCGACTTCGGCTCGGGTCATGATCTCACGGCTCGTGAGTTGGAGCCCCACATCGGGCCCTGTGCTGACAGCTCAGAGCCCAGAGCCCGCTTTGGATTCTGTGTCTCCCTCGCTCTCTGCTCCTCCCCCACTCACACTCTGTCTTTCCCTCTCTCAAAAACGAATAAACATTTAAAAAAAAATGTCTTAAATCTTTTTCCAACAACAGGAAAACATTTCACAGGCAAACAACATTTTCTAGTTATAAGAAGAACCTGAGTAATAAGAGAAGCATTTTTGTATGAAGGAGCTTTACCTCCGCCATCCTCGGTCTATGAGATCCTGATAATCCTGTACGGTCATGGAGTGTGCCCACATGCCTGAAAAAGTAAGTGCCATGTACCAAGTTAATCATAGCAGGTTGAACTTTTTTTTTTAATTCAAAGCATTTTCTAAATGTGAATACTGAAGCAAAAAAAAAAAATCTAGCTCACACTGAAAAAATGAAAGTTTGCACATACTTCACACTATGTGACATCACACACAACAAATGAAAAAAATTATTTACCTTAATCTTAAAAATCAAACAAATCAAAGTGATTACATTTAATTCCGAATTACTCTATAGTCTCTTTGACATCGTAATTTAAGGTCCTCCCTGAGATCAGATTACACAACACCTTTAACCATAATAATATCCCCGATAATTTAATAAGCTGGTCCCCTCCAAAGAATTGGAAAGCAAATGTTTTCTTATGCATTTAATTCTCATTGTTATGTTTTTAGCATAGTCTTGGATGTTGAAAATAGAACAAAAGTATACAGCAGTATTCCTTTTAAGTATAAAAACTGAAAGCAATCGAAATGCCCAGGAACAAAAAAGTGATTACAGAGGACATTATCAGTATGATGGAATAATTAATGATGCAACCATGAAAAAACATTAAAAGGTATATCTGAATTAATGTTAATAGAAAAATAAATGTTTCTCTCGTAAACAGCAAACTGCATCAGAAGTATGTAAAGACAGGGGTGCCTGGGTGGCTCAGTTGGTTGAGCGTCCGACTTTGGCTCAGGTCACGATCTCACGATTCGTGGGTTTGAGCCCCACATCGGGCTCTGTGCTGACAGCCTGGAGCCTGCTTCAGAATCTGTGTTGTCCACCCCCCCTCCTCCCCTGCTTGCACTCTGTCTCTGTCGCTCTCAAAAATAATATTAAAAAAATATTTTAAAAAGAAGTATGCAAAGACAGAGGTACGCTTGATAGCACAGGTTGTATTAAGAAACAGAAATGTCCAGAAGCCTTGCAGGTGCTCATTAACACTGAATTACTTTATGAGCCCCAATTTCATCATCTATAAAAATAGGAATAACAAAACCTACTTAATAGGTGCTATGCCCTATAGTAAAGATTATCATCAGAACTAAAATAAATACGATGGAAATTTACAGGTGTCTCTTTAGGTGAAAAGGCTGAAAACTGATTTCTTCCACAGAACTTTAAACAAAGGACATGTATATTAATCAACTTCCTCTTATTAAAGTTACTGGGAAAATAATGAATAATCTATGAATATGTTAATTTTAAACACACAATATAAAGTGCTTATTACACACATAGTATAGTCAGAATACCAAATTCTGAAAAAGATGAGGAGGAAATCTCTAAAACCCGAAAGCAATCACTGCCACCATTTGGTGTGTTTCTCCCTGTGTTTTCATCCTCACAGAGATCCTGTCACACATGTCATTTGCATCCTGTTTTTCTCCGTCTAACCCTACGTTCTAAACATTTTTCTGCTTAGCTCTTCATAACCATCACTCCAAATGATTGCATTATATTACATTCTACTTCCTCTTACCCACAAGCATCTAATGAACAATTTCAACTAATGAGTAAACGGACACACCATAATCGTCCACATCATTGCCCTGCTGTAGGACATTTATACATATTTTTAACGGAAACTACCTAAATGTATATCTTCATAGCTATCCCATTTCCCACCATGACGCACTATTTCTTAAAATAAAAGATCCTATGTTTGCCAATGCACGACACAGCAGGTAATATAAGCATATTGTTTTTGTTTACAAACAAATCTTCCGGAAGAAACCTGAACCATGATGGGGAAAAAAGAAAAAACAAAACAAAACTGTGAGCTGGCTTTGTTGTTCTGGGGGTGGGTGGAGGAACGATAAGGCATATGAACAAGCACCTGGTAAAATTTTCAAACGCATTAACACAAACAGGCTCCCTTGCCAGCAGCGTCTACGGTCCGTCACCGGCGTCTCCAGACGCATTTTATCCAGATGCCCCCGCCCACGTATGCACACACGTCTCCCTGTACACAAACAGCCCACCCGACACGCCGCATTCTGCACTTCAAACCGGGGATGATCCCACAGCAGCATCAGCACTCAGAGGCCCGCCCCGGCGGAACTGACCACTCGGCAACGCTCCCCGGCATGGCTTGCTTGCTGTCACATATTTAACCCTGTCCTACTGGTGGATGACGGACACCTGTTTCCACACTTTGGACTGCGGCGAGACCATCATCATCCCGCACTTCCGACCACCTGTGTGAAGGCTAAGCACCCAGATGCTTCCCTGATGAATCAGAGCGGAGATTCGTTTTTAATTGTGACAGCTACGGCCCTCCCCGGCGAGCAGCGTTCCGCAACACCCTCCTCGAGACAGGATCTGGCCGGGGGCTCCCGCCGCCGCGCGTCCCTGGGGGCCGAGAGCGCCGAGACCCCCCACCCCCGAGGCCGCCAGCCGGTCGGCCGGCCGCGGAAACCCGAGGCCGCGACGCCCTCCCCCACCCGCCGGCCCGCTCACCGTTGGAGCGACTGCCCGACTCATTCTTGCAATAGCCGCAGCGGTAGGAGTCCTCGCCCTCGAAATACTCCACGATGCTGGGCGAAAGAGCTGCCCAGGAAGCCATGGCCCCGGCCCTCCAAGCGCGACGCCGCTCGACCCAGCCCCGCCGCCGCCACCCCACAATGCCGCGCGCCGCTCGGGAGTCCCCGAGGCGCGCGCGAAGCTGCTCGGGCGCCCGCAGGCCAGGTTCCCCGGGAACCCCGCACGCTGACGCCGCCCGCGCCATCTTGACCGAGGGCAGCCGTCCGCTATTTCCGTTCCTTCTCCGACCTGGACCGCCATCTTCGGTGAGGGTGAGGAGGAGAGAGGAGCGCGAAGGGAAACAGTCTGGGAAAAAACGAGTGGGAGAGGGACGCGGGAATTGGGGCGCCGGGCCTGTGCGCTCCCGGGCCGGGGACTGGCGCGGGGCGCGGCGGGCGGTGCGGGGATTGGACGCCAGGCGGCCACGCCAGCCCCGTCCGTGGGGACACTCACCGCAGGACACCTTGCCCTCCTCGGAGCCGCAGTAGCCGCAGTGGTAGCCGGCCTTGAGCCCCTTGTACTCCACCACCGAGGCCATGGCCGCCTCCAGGGTCCGCCGAGGCCGGCCACGCCTCTCGGCGCCCCGGGGCCGACCTCGGCGGAGCGCGGGGGCCCGCGGCGGGGAGGAGTGGAGGACGAGGTCTGGCGGTTGCGTCCCAGCGCCCCGACCCGCGCCCCTAACGCCTCTTCGGGGTCCCGGTCCGTGTTGGGGCCGGGGTCTCCGGAGATGTTAGCGAAAGTGGTAGTCGTGCCCCTCGAGCCCCGACTTAGGGCCGGATCTTTGCATAATTCCTCGCCAAGCATTCCTACAACCGCGCATCTTCAGCTCCGTTTTACAGATGGGGAAACTGAGGGCCGGAGGTTGTGACTCAGTCATTTCCTGCAGGTCTCAGTTTAAAAGTTACCGTCTCGGGCCGCCCTGACCACCATATGGGTAGCCAACTCCAGCTTCCAAACGAGCACGTACTCACTTAAGTGCCAAAATAGAACAAGTATACTCGCAGGTGTTCTGTGAATAGCTGTCGTGGGTGAATTGAAGACACTTAATGTTTTTAAAGCAAACAACTGCCAGAGCCAGTATGTGCCTTGTGCTGCTATCAGCCCATTGCCTATAACTTTTAAAGAGAAACTGACAAATCTAGATTTTTTTAGGTATTATTTTAAAAGCTTTTCTTAACTGTGCAGGGCAACCAAAACATTTATGTAGATTGAATTCAGCCCGTGGACTTCCAATTTGCAACCCCTATTTTAAGAGGATGCTGTAACAGTCTGGGGCAAAGTATAAAAATGAGTACCTCCAACAAGGTAATTTTCCATAATATTTATGTGCACAGATAATTTAAGCCTGTCTGTACAGTTTTCCTAGTCAACAATAAAACATTATCTTTTTGTAGTGTTTTGAAAAGTGAAATCGTGGGGCGCCTGGGTGTATCCGTAGGGCTTAAGCGGCCAACTTGCATTCAGGTCGTGATCTCCCGGTTCTTGACCTGTGAGCTGGACCCAGGTGATTGGAGGTGCCTCACCTGTTCTCCTCCTTGGTTCCCACTTGCCTTTCACACGTCCAGGGGCTGCTTCGAGGTTATAGCCTTGAGATAATGATGAGAGCACCTGCACAGTATTCTCGGCTGAACCCAATTAAGGCCTCTCTCTATACAGACTTTTTAGATATGGTAGGTGGGTGTGTGGATCCATTCTTCCTGCTGCTGCCCAAGCAAGCCTCATATGTAAGTTCCCTTTACTTATTAAAACTGCCACCTACCAACCTGGAATGGCCTACCTCTTCCTTTGGTCTGTCCCTGCCCTCCACGTATACCCTCTTATGTCTGTTACTAGTTGTAAGATCTTGAGAGGTTATTTACTCTGGTCTTCATTTCCTATGTTGTGAAGTTACTGGAAGGATTAAATGAGTTATCACATATACCTAGGACATTGGCATTGTAGCTCGAGGCTGGCATTCCCTGCTTGGGATGAGGTTGGGACAAAGGGACAGAAGTCAATTGGTAGAGGGCTATAAGAAAAGCAGGAAGCCTCCTGGCTTCCTGCTCTCTGTCTGAGCATGGCATTCTGCTCTCTGTTTTGTCCACCGGACTTTACTTCAAAATGAGAGCCCGGCTGGAAAAGGCCCGTGAATAGAGCCAAATCTGCTGTAATAGACAAAATGAATGAGGTCTGTCTTAATGGTGCTGATAGGTAGCAAGGGACCTTCAAGTTTAAGGAGTTGGAGGAACTAGAGAAACTCAGAGGGGCCCTAAGAACCTCCTATATGCTACACCGCTATCCCTTGGGTTTTTTCCCGTTGTGTAGGCACAAGTGATGCTTAGTAATGTAGTAGGTCACTGGGCTACCAAGAAACATCTTCACCTTAAGCAAGTGTGTATCCAGCACAGTAGACGTTGGGTTCAAGAATGTGGAAACTGACCTTCAAAGTTTACCTGTTTCTCCAAGCTTCATAATTTCACTTTATTTTAACGTTTATCTCTGAGAGTGAGAGAGATCGCAATCAGGGGAGGGGCCAAGAGAGAGGGAGACACAGAACCTGAAGCAATTCTGGGTTTTCGATGTCTTTTCGATGAACTTCCGCAACAGAGGGAGGAAGGTGATAAAAATAAAATTGTGAAAAAGAGATCAACAAAGACTCAAGGGCAGTGGTTCCTAGATGTCTTTATTTTGCTGAAAGAGAAAATGAGTTTTCATCTTCCAGGCCCAAGTGAGAAAAATAACTTCAGCTTCAGTCCCCCCCCCCTTTTTTTAATGTTTATTTATTTTGAGAGAGAGAAAGAGCACCAGTGAGTGAGAGAGGAGCGGGGGGAATCCCAACGAGGCTCCATGATGACCACGCAGAGCCCAACAAGGGGCTTGATCTCATGAATCATGAGATCATGACCTGAGCTGAAATCAAGAGTTGGATGCTTAACCAACTGAGCCACCCAGGTGCCCCCAGCTCCCCCTTTTTGTGGGGAGACATGGGAAGAAGACATTATTGGAATGTTCCCTTACGTATGAAATTGCAAGCAATAGGTAGTTGTCTTTTAATTTTCTTGTTTAATGGAATGAAATGCTGGCAACACTAGCTGTGAGCCCATTAATGTTTTTTTTTATGTCACCAAGTTTTTTATGTCACTAAGTGAGCCTGCAGAGTGGAAGAGGGAGGCCCTGATGATGTCAAGGAATCTGCATGGGCTAGGCCCAATTCATGTTTCTTGAATTGTGGAACACATTCCTCTTTCTTCTAAAAAAAGTGAGTTGATGGGGCCTAAGTAAAGTCAGGGAAAAAAGAGTAAAATACAGATAACCGGAGGCAGAGAAGAGGGGCACTCTAGGAGGAGGTGGCTAGGAACACCAGGGGTCTCAGGTGCTGGCATGGTAGCCACCTAGAAGATGCTTTCCTCTGTGGGCCACTCACTGTCAAGAGGCCTCAGATTGGACATTTCCCTCCACTGTACAGACATGTACTCTCCAATGTACTTTCCAATTTGGTAGTGTGAAAATTAATAAAAGAAACTGTTTAGAATAGGGGTGGGGGAGGGGCACCTGGGTGGCTCAGTCAGTTAAGCATCTGACTTTGACTCAGGTCATGATCCCACCGTTCAGGAGTTCAAGCCCCGCATCAGGCTCTATGCAGACAGCTGAGCCTGGAGCCTGCTTCGGATTCTGTCTCCCTCTCTCTCTGCCCTTCCCCCGCTTGTGCTAGACTCTCTCTTTCAAAAATAAACTTGAAAAAAGAAGGGGCGCCTGAGTGGCTCAGTCAGTTAAGCGTCTGACTTCAGCTCAGGTCATGATCTCGCAGTTTGTGAGTTCAAGCCCCCTATTGGGCTCCGTGCTGACAGTTTGAAGCCTGGAGCCTGCTTTGGATTCTGTGTCTCCCTCCCTCTCTGCCCCTCCCCCACCCACACTCTGTCTCTCTCTCACTCTCAAAAATAAATAAACACTAAAAAAAATTTATTTTAATGCAGAAAATCAAAGACCAACAAAACTCTTGAAAAAGCCAGAGGAAAGAAAACCCTTGCTAATAGAAGAGCAAAATAAGATTTACATCAGACTTTTCTTTAGAAAGCATGTAATAAGAGAGGGAAGTGAAACACTTAAAGTGTTGGGGTGGGGGGGAAACGCCAACCTACAGTTCTATGCGCAGTGAAATTATTCTGCAAAAGTGAAATAGAAGTACAGGCATACCTTGGAGATGCTGTGGTTCAGTTCCAGACCACTGCAGTAAAGCAAGTACCATGATAAAGCAAGCCAAATGGATGTTTTGGCACGTAAAAGTTAAAGTGCAATGGCATCATGTCTAAAAAAAGTACACTAATTTAAAATACTTTATTACTAAAAATGCTAACCGTCATCAGAGCTCTCAGCCAGTCATAATCACTGATCATGGACCACCATAATAAGTATCATAATGAAAAATTTGAAACACCACAAGATTTACCAAAATGTGACACACAGACATGAAGTGAGAAAATATCATTGGAAAAGTATTGCCAACAAATTTGCACGATGCAGGATTGCCACAAATCTTCCGTTGGTAAAACACAGTATCTGCAAAGCACAGTAAGGTGAAGTGTAATAAAATGAAGTATTCCTGTAAAGGCTCCTCAAACAAAAATGGAGGGTGTCTGTCACCAGTAAACCTGATTGGCAAGAAATGTTAAAGAAGATTCTTAAGGAAAATAATTCAGAAACCAATCCACATAAAAAAAGCATTTGGAGAAGGAATAAATGGAGATAAAATCAAATGTTTCATTTTTAAAAATTTAATTGCTTGTGGGCTGCTGGGTGGCTCTGTTGGTTGAGCATCTGACTTCAGCATAGGTCATGATCTCACGGTTTGTGGGTTCAAGGCCCGCGTCAGGCTCTGTGCTGATAGCTCAGAGCCTGGAGCCTGCCTCTGATTCTGTGTCTCCCTCTCTCTCTGCCCCTCCCCTTCTTGCATTCTGTCACTCTCTCAAAAATAAATAAACATTAAAAAATTTTTTTAATTTAATTGCTCTAACAGATAATAGGCAATTCAAAATAATAATAACTTGTATAGGGTAATTTTACAAG